TGCAAGTGATGTTGCCAACGCATTGTCGCATCATGAATCATGAACTCAGATTGCCTACCAAGACACCATGCAGTACCAGCACCCAATACGATTTGGAAGCACTGCTTCACCAGCCGTGACCACCAGACTTCACCGGTGCAATCAAGATCCCAAGGACTCAGAAAATGTGCCTTTTTCCCACCTCTTCACATCACTGATTCCTCCCACCACTGGCAGTTCTCATGGATTGTGTGTGTGTTTTTAAAGATTGCACTCCATTCATTCAGCTGAATCACTCTCTATAGGGTGCCTCACTGGTGGGTCCAAAACAGGTGAGTGGCCACCACTCGTGGCGCTGCACCGCTGCTGCTCCCTCCGCGTCGGATGTCGGACTTCCACGCCTGTCAGTTGCGGCGGCTCCTCCACCGGCACCACCGCCGAGAAGGTCCTGTCGCCCCCGTGGCGAAAACGAGCAGCAGGATGCGCTCGAGCAGTGGCCCAAAAAAAGTGGGGTTGCTCGGCAAATCTCGTTCTCTCGCGACCCCTTTTTGGAGCATCTTTGGACTCACGTCTCTGCAATTGATGGATCATCAATGGTGTGCAGAAGCCGTTCGGAAGATCCAACCCAACCCAGCGCGCGCACGCGCGCGCGGTGTCTGCTGACCGGCGTCCCGTCCTTCAACGGCACGGCGGTTGCGTCGTCGATCCCAACACACACGCGCGCGCACGCGGTGGAACTCTCAACCCAATCCTGGGCGCTTTGGGATCCACCGGCTTCCCATGGAGCAACTCCTTCTGCGCCTTCTTCCGATAGGCCGCCTGGCGGCAGACGCACCGCGTGGGGTGCGTGAACGACGGGGCCGTGAATGAGGCGGCCGAGACCGGCGGACCGCGGTGCCAACACCGGGGGGACCCACGGCACGGCAGTCATCCCCGTCCCCCCCCAGGGTGGGTCTTGATCAGAAGATCTCCCTGGAGAGAGCGGCCGGTTTGGGGGCAATCATGAAGGCTGTAGGGCTTTCCGCCCCCGCACCCGTAACCTCGGAGAAGGGCTGTAGGTCTGGAGTCTCCGCGGGGTGTAAAGGTTGTACGAGCAGATGTGGACTCCACTCCAAAGGGCCCAGCAAGATAAGGATCCAGCAAGATCTAGACCAGCACCCTCCAACAGGCTGTTAGTTGAGGGTTGTTGGACCCTAACAGGTTTCAATTGGTGACCTGTCGGAGGGTCCTGGGAGAGTTTCAACAGCCTGACCTAGTTTCAGCTGGCAGAAGCCCTTGGTTCAATGACAAACGTTGTATCGAACATGATGAGACTTGAAAATCAGTGCGATCATGATCGACTGAACAGAACAACAAATGCCACGGTGAAATCATTTCGTAATCCCACAGAAACGACCCCAACGTGAAGACAAATGGAACATGAGCCAAATCCTTCAGCGAACGTAGAAAAAAGATGAAACAAGTCTGTCAGGTAAATCACACACACAAGCCAAAAACCGCCACGAACGAAACCTGCCCTGCATTTTTGGGCAAACATCACATCATACGCCGTGTCCAGGTGTTTCAAAACCCGGCCTATAGAAGTAGAAGTGGGCAACTCACTGAGGCTCGCAGAACGCGAGTCTTTCTTGTCGCGGAAAAGAAAAAAAAGGTAGATACGGTCCCCCCCCCCAGCTCCCAGCAGATCAGCGGGTCCAAAAACGTACGCGGTACCGCCGTAACGCCGTGACGTACCGCCGTAACCCGGTTCCGTTCGGGGCATGCCTTGGACATCTTTTGGCTGTCAGTGGCCATGCCCATATATTTCAGCACCTGCGAATCGGTCAGCTGCGCGCCATTCTCCTGGCGGTGGGGTTTTCTCTTTTCGGCGAGACCGGGGAAGGAAGGAGAAGCCAGACATGGCACGAGACGGGACTTCGCCTGTTGTTCGCAAAAAACGAGAGACTCCCTGAAATAATCAAGTGGAAACTGGTCATCCAAGGAGCCAGGCCATCCACTTCTATGATTGTTCCAGGGTGTGTAAAGCCCTGTACCTCGAAGAACACACAGGTTGACCCTATGACGAAGTTGGAAAGATTCAACCCTTGAAGTTATGTCTAGCTGGTCAAAGAAAAGAACGTGAAAAACATCTCTTTCTGGTGCCCTATGTGTGCATGTTGAACCTGGAATTTGATGGACATCTTCACCTTTCTCATCTAACTCTGTCCCGCCGACTTTTCTGCCGGTCGAACGATGAAAACCCCACCCGCAGACGGGCTGTCCCCCGGGTCCCATCGCTCCCGGCTGAAGCGGATCAGATCATCGTCCGTGAGCTCCAACTTGGCCTCGTTCGCGCGCGGAGCTCCGCTGCTCCGCTGCTCCGCGGCTCGGAGTGCGGCGATGAACGGGCGGATGAACGGGCTTTTGGGAGGGACGATGGGAGTGGGAATGGTTTGGTGTTTGGTTGGAACACATCACATGGAAGTGGGAAAAAAATCATGTATGCTTGACTGATCAGGTTTGTAGAGGAAAATGGTGCCCCACCAGAAAAGGACTTGGAGAATTGAAATACTCACGTAAATACTCACGTAAATACTTACGTAGCTAAATACTCACGTAGCTATTCTAAACAAGCATCAGGAAGAATTGAAATCGGTTCAAAACACCAAGGTCATGCCAGACCAATCGCCCCTTCTACATCTTGTTTCATGGGTAAATTTGCCACCTTTCTTGAATACTGCTGAGGGACCCCTGCATCCTGCCATCGCAAGATCATGTTCATAGGGAACGGGATTGGCGACACGAATTTGGATTTCTGCCAAAACCTCACCAGCGAATCCAAATGACCCTGGTATTACTTGGGCTGAATTGGCAACTTCTTTCACTATCGCCTCAGGCTTACAACTGCCCATTTGGCACAATAACGAAGACGAAGTGTCGGGTCTGCTTTTGAGTTACCGACAAGCCTTACTCTATTCTGAATACTATAGGTATACGTACTAAGACAAGCCTACGCATTTCGACAGATCAAATTGGTCCTGCACGCCTCTGATTCCAACGGTACTCGACAACAAATGCAATGGGTGTGCATCGACCATTGGGCTTTCAGCGTAAGCGCGTTGGAATCTCAAGACGTCCTGTATACCCAATACTGCAGAAGTGAACTCTTTCTTTGAGTCATATGCGACGCTTAAGGCTTAATCTAATCCACCAACCTTGTTTCTCTCTAAAGGCATTGAGGCTTACACAAATCAAGTTCCTCGTTTCTCGTTGGCAGAATGGCCATGTAATACCGCTCGAACCTTTCAAAGCAAAGTTCGTAAATTTCTCATTGCGGAGAAATCCCTTCATGATCTGCTACCAGAATGTGTTTGGCCACCATAGATGCAAAAGCCGTGAATTAAATGCATGCTCCACTTAGGTTTCTCTTCATTCACACATGGGTTCAAAACCTTCATAGTGTGATGATGTAACTGTGACATAGTCTCACTGTCAATTTCTGTCACCTACCCGGTACCATACCGAGGGGGCTTCAACAGAGCGGGATCAATCCGATCCCAACCGGTCCCAACAGACGCTGGAGGAAAATGGTCCAACAGACCGTGGCGCCCACGTCCTGTTCCCGCGAGCGAAGGGAAGGGCGGCCCTGTTCCCCCGCGCGCGCAGGCGCCGGGCCTTCACGGCATGCGGGCTCTCACGCTCTTTGATACACGACAGATAGCCTGCACAATGGGCTTCCAGGCCCAGAACTTCACTGAGGGGGGTTGGGGGGACACGAGTGAGGAAAGCTGTGTTCGTTGGTGCCATGGAGAACGGAAGAACCAAGCAACGAAGGAGATCCATCTCCCAGTCCTGTCGCTGGGCGAGATGTTTGGTCGCCCTAAAGTGCCAATAAACCGATATGAACCGAGGGTGTTTAGCTGCACCCGTCCTTTTTGTCCCAGATCTTGTTGGTCAGTGTCTTCCAAACATCCGGAAACTCACCTTATCTTCAGGCGCCTCTGGGCAAATCACTCCCATTATGTGCGCGACGAAAAGAACTGCATCCTTGGTCAGCTCCAACCACAACCAACAATCGCACAAGTTCCAAGAAACCTTCCTTTACCGGAATAATCAAAGCCGTTGCCGGCCAATGTATGCCTGCTGAATCAATCTCTTTCAGCTCCAACTTTGCGCAACCATCACAAAACTTCCAAGTGGCCATTCTCGACTGAAGTGATCAAAGCCGTTGCCCCATCTATTGTTGCTGCATCTTTGTCAGCGCCAGCCTCAAGCAACAATCGCACAACTTCCAAGTGGCAGTTCTTGGCTGAAATGGACAAAGGAGTTGTCCCATCTGTCCTTGCTGCATCTTTGTCAGCGCCGGCCTCAAGCAAAAATCGCACAATTTCCACATGGCCCATGCAGGCAGCAATAAGCAAAGCTGTCGACCCAAGTTTGTCTTTTGCATCTGTCTCAGCTCCAGCCTCAAGCAACAAGGGCACAACTTCCAAGTGGCCGTTCTGGGCTGCCACATACAAAGCCGTCGATCCATCCTCTGTCATTGCTGCATCTTTGTCAGCTCCAGCCTCAAGCAACAATCGCGCAACTTCCACATGGCCCATGCAGGCAGAACAATACAAAGCCGTTGCCCCATCGGTCGTTGCGACATCTGTATCTACTCCAGCCTCAAGCAACAATTGCACAATCTTCAAGTGGCCTCTGTCAGCCGCGAAATGAATGGGCGTAGCATTGTCGTCACAACCTCTCCAGTTGGGATCGTATGGTTTCTGAAGCAAGCTTTCTACTTCCTCCACATTATTCTCCCGACAGTGGCGAACTAGCTCATCCCACTTAGTCTCATCTGGAGCACAAAAGTCCAGGATTACCAGCTGCACACTTGAATCTGGTATTAGCGGCATGCTGTCATGCACTTCGCCCATCGTATCACTCAAGAACCTTTGTCGAAATCTTGAGTATCCGAGCTTGGCTGAAAGGAGCTGCTTTAGGTGCAGAAAGGACTTTCCATTCTCAACCATGTCAAGCAACTCATCCTCATCCACCTGAGCAACTGTTCTGCCAGACACAGCGGAAATCTGCATCATTGAAACTCAGCCTCACAAGTGCAAAGTCGTGTTTTCAGCATACAAACCATTCGGAAAACATTGCTAACCGATCTGTTGCATAAATAAGTATTATGAAATTAGTGTACTTTATTCGGAATAGCTATCGGCATGATTCGTATGTATTCGGTGAGCGTCCCCATCCCTCGTGTTTGAGCCAACAGTCGACTGAGTCGACTCATGTCGCGAAAAAATTGGAAGATTGCGATGTTCCGCACCTGTTGAACAGCTATAAACATACATCTGGAAGTTCCCAACCATCAGCAGCTCCTTTAACCATCGTTTCAATCATTTCGGTATGAGGAGCTGTGTTCGCTGGGATGTGTGATCTCGTGGTATGGTGTGTTTGTTTTCCAGCCTCATCTCAATCTTTACCCCATTAGATTGATTCACTAAATTCCAATACATCTCGAAATCATCACGCTCGCCCTGACCCTCGACCTCCATGCGTTCAGGAGATTCGTCCCTTCTCCTCTTCTTGAACCACAAAAACCACCCCTGTCCGGATCCTGAGGAGGGTTCACTGTTTAGCCTTTGCCCAGTCCTTTCCGTCCATCCTCACCATGCAGTTCTCCCGCATCCACCCTCGCAGCTAGACCATCATCTGCCCCACCTTTGTCCGCCGCGAAGGCCAAGCCCACGAGCATGGGGAAAAAGAAGAAGGTGAGAACACCTGGGGCCGTCGGGCCGTCGCTTCCAGGTCGACCAAGCAGCAGAGACCAGTTGGCCGACCAGGTCCTCTAACTGTTCGATTCGAAAGGCTTCGTTCGCGGGGCCGGGTGGAGACCTCCCCTTCGTCCCCTTCGCGGCCGACCTGCGTACTGTGTACCTTAGTGTGGAGGCTGCTCCAGCTGCTCCAAGCTGGAAGACCCACACCCAGGAGCCGAAAGAAACTGCGCAGGGCAGACGTTCGCTGTGGTCACCGTGGTCACCGTAAGGCGCGAAGAAAACGTCTTTTCGACCACTAAGAGCTTGGGACCACCACCACCAAGCGACCCCAAATCGCAGGTTCAATTTTCCTTCATCACCCAGAGCACCTCAGTGATCTGCCCGAAAAGGATCTGTATACAGCAGCTTTGAACGATTGGATGGTTTGCTCCTGTTTGCTCTGTTCTCATATCTGACCTACATCCATCCAAAGCTTCTAAAGCTTGAAGAGTCTAGAGGCAAACCTGTGTTCAGGCTATTGGTCTTTTAACTGAAAACACTCGACTGCTTTACACCCCTATGGCCCATGTCTTCTGCCATAAAAGTCTATCCCCAGCTGTGTAACTCCGGCCTTCGTAGATGTCCACGATGTCCTGACGGATCGAGAAACCCCCAAAACGGACACCTACAAAACACTAACCCGAAGAGATACCAAGACATAAGAAATCCCCCATGACATGTCTTGGAAATCATGTGGATGGAAAATCCGACCTATGCAGGGACCAGTTTCGAAAAAAGACCTGTCCGTACAACACCTCACTCAGTGAGGTCGACAAGCACCTGCATACGTTGCTCAAAGTGAACAATGTTTCTGCAACGTCTTGGTCGACCTCCCAAACCCTTGCAACAAATATTCAAGTCAACCACCCCCTCCCTCAGCTGAAGTGATTCTGGGGCCAAAAACATGTGACCATCGGCGATGACTGTGTCAAGTGGCGACATTCAGGGTCCAAAAGCCAAAAATGATTTCCCTGACTTTGAGACTATATTTGCCGGCGAGTGAGAAAAAAGCCGCCAGCCATGCAGAGCTGCGGTCGTCTACACCCCGAATAGAGTCGGGTCCTATGCACCGCGGTTGGTCTTGACTGACTGTGAAGGACTCCACTTTCCAATTTTGCCAGCAAGGGGACTGCAGCACGTACATCGCTCGCCCCGTATCTTTGCTCATGCCCCTGAACTGCTGATGCTTTCCAACCAGTTGTCTTGTTGCCACCTCTCCCGTCCTCTGCATGTTGATTGCGGGTTTCGGGTTTTGGGATATGCTTTCGGTGAGAAACCCCACGTGCCGGGACGGTTCTTCGATCCGCCCCACCCCACGGCGGTTGTGGCAACGAACAGATTCCATTGGGCGGTTGGATGGCATGGTGTCCCCTTGAAGCCTTGGGTCCAGACGACTTTCCTCTACAAACGGGTGCCTTTTCCATTGAAACCGCCCGGCCGAACGGGCCGGCTTCGCTTCGCTCGGGACCCGAGAACGTCTCCCGAAGCGGATCCGACCTCCGAGATGACCGAGACCACCAGGTACAACCTGAGGGCGGGACAACCACTAGGACCCCCGGCCCAGTCGGGGTGGTGAAAATGGACACCCCTAAGAAAACAGCAGGGCACTAGGGGCTATGTCATAGACACCCCTAACGGCCCGGAGGGTGTCTGGATATGACCTGAAAAAACCACCACCCGACTCTACAGATCTGGTTTCCGCTGAAATGGAGACTTCAAATTATCGTGGTGACCTGGCAGGTCGACCGGGTGCTGAAGATGAGATTCCATGGAGCGGAGTAGACGGACGGAGCGGAGTAGACGTTTTTCGCGGAGATCTGAGCAGAACATCGAGCGAATCTGAGCGGACTTTTGCTGAACCATGGTGGAACCATGGCGGGGGTGGGACCATGTTCAATTGGTGGAGGGGCACCACAACTCCTCACAGAAGGTCGAACTTGAGGAACTCACCGCCTTTCGATGATTTTTTGTGAGAGAGAGCTCCTCTGCTGAGGGCGGCCTCTCGTGCTTCAGTATAGGTTGGCCAGGGTATCGACTTCGAAGAGTTTCCGGCGTAAAGGACCAGATGACGAGAAATCGGGTTAGAGGATGGTAGAGGAAAATCTTGTGCCAGATTGAACTTCCACTCCTCGCGGCCTCAAAAAACGGGCCGAACGGATCCTCAGCTTCGGTCGGACAAGGGGGCACCCAGGAGGGGTCTATAACTACCTAACCTGAGGATGTGGGCCAGGAACCTAATCTAACTACCTAACCAATCTAACTAAAACAAGGCAAGGAACTCTAACGACTGTGTTACATTCTTCGATGGCATCACCTACCCCAAGCAGACCGATCGCTCGAACTCGTCCAGGGAAGCTGACCACAGGTATGCGAAGACGGAGACGAAGGCAGTGACCAGGTAGACATTCATGTCCTTGATGTATCTCACCTGACACATGCACACACACACACATTCAGCAACCGGGAGCATGGGTGCATCCCCAGAATGGTGAATGCCCTTCTGGGGAAAATAGACATCGCCCGAATGTTGTAGAACCTGGCACGCATCTGCATCTGAAGCTGCTTCACAGCTGAATTCAAGCAGTTTGCTTCAACAGCTGGTTTTGGTTTCATGTTCAAGTACCTGACCAGCTTCGGACCGGACAATTGGCGTCTGGACGGAAGGGTGCCTAAATGGAACATGTCGAAATTGCTCTTGCACCCCGGCGGGCGCACCTCATTGTCCTTGATGGCAAGCACGCAGACCGCTGAGATGCAAAAGAGATTGAATGCTGCTGATCCTCGCCCGATCGGCTCGGCCGAGGAAGGTGTTTGAGGCGTCGGCAAGAAAAGAGTTCGACGGCTCGGCCTGTGCTCCGAAAAAACAAAAAAACTGGACCTTGTTGTAGCACTGCATGGACATGATAAGGATTTTGACATATTTTAATATAGGAACTATAATGAATTTGCTGACATTGAAAAAATCTGAAAAAATGCCAACAAACCCATGTCCACTTTGTGTTGACTTCTCCCAGCTGCTCCGGAACGCTCGCTCGCTTCTCTCCTTTCGCACGCTCCTTCCTTCTCTTCACCCGGGTGGGGCCCGCGCCTACGATGGTGGAAGGACCCAAGTCTCCACTGTAGAAGCTATTCCCCAAGAGCTCGATCACCTCGACAGCAGTCGAGCGCAGTCGGGATGTAGCGCATACACCCGCATACACCAAGGTGAGGTGGGTTTCGCATGGAGGTGAGGTGGATTGATGTGTTAAAGAAACATCAAGAAACTATCAGGACCCTCCACGGGGTGTCTATTTATAGCCCCTTAGCCGTTAAGGGGTGTCCATTAACCACCCCTTGAAGGTCCAGGTATAATCATATATATATATAGTATAAATATGATTCACATATACCTGGACCTTCCAAGGGGTGTGGGAATGGAGATCCATATGTAGTGTAAAGGCTTCCATGGATGACCCTTACCTTGGAAGGTGCTGGTATATTATATGCAATACTGCAATTAAATGAAACGATCTACCAGAATGGCCTTCACATCTCCAGGTGTGGCCCGAATTTCGGAGGGCCGACACTCTCCACACCATACATGGATGTGGTCAAATCCTTCATATGTCGTGCTACGTTGTCTAGCAACAGAGAAAAGAAGAACCTTATAGACTATCCCATGGGTACCCCAGAATGGTCCAAAAAGGTCACTTCACCTCTCTTGGGCTGCTGTTTCTGCCCCAACAAGCAGCACGGCGCCGAGGCACGCTGAGAAGGATCTCTGGCGCACTGGAGCCTAAGGCCATCAGAGTGAGGTTCGCCACGGTGTCGTTCCACACCTGCGCGGTGTGGAGGTGCCAAAGGCACCGGCCACGGTGGAGAACCTCCCTGGTGAAGAACCCGGGTGGGTTGGTTGACGACCCGTCTCGGCATGTTGGAGTTGATACTGGAAGTTGGTGTGTCAAGAAGAAATTATAGGGATGGCCAGGGTGTGTCCAGCTAAAGCTAAAGGGCATCCTCCTTGAAGTAACAAACGAAGTATAGCAGTATAGAGCATACTCCAGTGGGTGTGATGTCAGTGACCGCGTCCCTTTTCCAACCCCCCCAGATCTCCCCATTTTGGAGCTCCACTGCAGCTCCAGGTCATTCCCTGATCCACATACCGAACCTGAGGTACGGTGATTGGAGACTATTTATGTAGGCGCCAGGAAGGTTCAATTGCCTTCTGAGAAGGTATGTGGATCCATAGGGTTTCATAAAAGTTTCACCGTTTTCTGCCCACACCAGCAGCACGT